ACATTGGGGAGGTGGAACTGAGGGGCGTGCATCGGGAACAAGAAGGACAGTCCAGAGAGCGAGGGGCTGAAGGAGATAGTCGAGGGGACGGAAGGGTCGGGAGAGAGCGACTTGTGATTGGATCTGCTCGGCGTAAGGAAGAACAATGGGCTGGGAAACAGCATGGAGGTGAGATGTGATGTGGGTCCAATAACTGGTTAGAGGGCTTTGTTAGACAGGGCTGTTCTGAAAGGTCGAGTGGGAGAGGGCTTAAGACGAGGAGGGGGACAAAGAAGGTGGATCCATCTAGCGTCTAGAACGGAGGAAATGGAGGTGTGGGAGGAGAAGGTGTGGGGGCGACACTGAGCGGATGAGTGATAAGCTGTAAGGCGCATGGGTATCAGATTTCAGAGAGTGAGAAGGAAAGACGGAATTCTAAGGTGTAATGGCTTAATTTTGAGCCAGGCGCAGCTGTTTCTAGGTCAGGCTGCTAGTGTATCATCTGGAGCAGTTGCCGGCGATCTGTGACTGTCGGTTATCTTTTGTCTTATGACAAAAGCATTCCTGGTTAGAAGCGAGATGGTGTTTTTGCCGTTTAGCTTCCCTCCAGTGTTGTGTGTTCCGATCTCAGGATCAATTCTTATCACTGCTAAGGTATTTATTGTCCTTGACTTGTGATTTGTGAGGCTGAGATAGCCGCCAGGAGAGGATATCTTTCCTCTCTGTAGGCTTCCCTCAAAGGAGGCTTGGGTCCTTCAAAGGCAGTGAAAGCGGGTCCCAATCTAGGATCCAGATCTGGTTGTTCATTCTTCAAAGGCAGTGAAAGCGGAGTACACACTGTAATTTGTTTAGTTCATGCCTAGCCAGGGCTAGCACAGTCATTCTACTTGGGACTCTTGTCCAACATACTGCCTTTTTTCTGAGGTAGAGTAGTTCATGCCTAGCCAGGGCAAGCACAGTCGTTCAACCTGTGACGCTCATCCAGTCGTTCTACTTGCGACGCTCGTCCAACGTACTGTCTTTTTCCTGAGGTAGAGCTTCAGAGGTGCTCATGAAAGGTGGAGGTGAAAAGGTGAGAGGAGGCGGTTGCCGTACTTCTCGCATTGAGCCAAGGGCTGCTGAGCAGTTTGTTGCTGGAACTGCGGTCTTTTGCAGGATGTTGCTCCGTCTCCTGATCCTTCTCCCAAGTCTTAGCCAACAGTCTCATGCGGCAAATGCAGAAGGTTTGCCTCTTCGCCCATTGTGTTGTTTTTTTACAACAAAGAATGTATTTTGGAAACACATGAAGGCAACTGCTATGTATGAAATAAAAGAGTGACAGTTTTCACAAACTTCTTTCATTTGTTGGTGGTTCAGAAGGGAAAAAAAAACAGACGGTGATATCCTGTGGGGCATTTGTTAGAACTGGCACGATACAGAGAAGATTAGCATGCACCCTCTGGAAGGATGACATGCATAAATAGAGAAATGGTCCAAATCTTTAAACCACCAATAGGTTTCCCAGCCATGTTTCCAAAGTTGCGTTTCTTGCCCCCGAGGAATGTGCTTCTGATGTACTGGTGGGTTTAAGGGAAAAAAGGAAAGAAGCAGACCTTGATTTGGGCCAAGGCGGGTGGCTTACTGCGATGATGATTCGATACCCATCGGAGAACGTTTACGATTGGGTGGTCTTTTTGCGAGCATGAAGAAATATAATAGTGACCACGAAAATTGTGCCATGTGACCCCATGATTTGGGCCAAGGCCAGTGACTTACTGCTATGATGATTCTATATGCATGCGAGAACCGTTAGAAGATTGGCTGTTCTTTTTGGGAACGTGAAAGAACTACAATAGAGACCATGAAATTAGTGACGATCTTCACACGTGCGAGGATCAGTGTCCTCGGTAGGCCTACTGGGCCCTGTCTGCAGCCTTACCCGCCCTAAGTGAAGGCGGAGGTGCCCGCCCTAAGTGAAGGCGGGCCTGGCTTTTTGCAAGAGGCCCTCGACTGTCAATTTCATATTTGGGGTCCAGGCAATTGCGACGCGCCAGTTGGTTGAAAGAAACACRGGCCGAGTACCGAACACATTTCCACGGCCTACCGGGCCTTTCCAAAGAATGCAGGCCCTGGGCGTGATTCGCAGCCTCATACAGAGACAGTTGGGCGCCCAACCGAACGAGGCCCAGCAGCCCAGTAGCTGCTACATCCAGACAGCATCCTGGGGCCTTCCGGAAGCTGCTGGGCCCAGGCCAGCCCAGCCAGGCTGCGAGAGCTGGCCAGCTCTTTTCCATAAAGGAAAGAGCTCTGGCCAGGCAGCCTCATTCAGG